AACGCCTGTAGCCATCTCGCCGCCGCAATAGGATCATACGACCCATCAAAGAAAGGTAGCTTATGCTTACAGAAAGCATTAAGCCGACGGTCAAGCACGTCGCGATCCTCAACCGACTCCACATAGGGTTCCATCACCCTAGTAAGAGGAGTGGCACCCTCAACGTGACTCAGGCTCTTGTCTTGAAGGCTAGGTGGAGGTGGAGGTGGAGGTGGTGGCGGAGGGAACTGACCAACAGCAGGACCAGCCCTCATCTCCTCCAACATGACTCTCATCGTAGTCAAGTTCGCCAGGCGGTTCGCCTCCAATACATCCTCAGTGGCTTTCCTATTCGCCTCTCTGACGGCGTCTAGCATAGCCTGGTTTGCCATTCTCATGGCCTCCTGGTCGGCAATTCGCACCACTTGCATCTCATCCAATGCAGCCAGGACATGATCAGATTGATCCCCGCTAGTTTCTCGGTTCCTCCGAGGTAGTACCATGACTCTGCACAACTTACACAAAGAGTGAGTTGATCAGGCCCACGCAATGTGGTCACATATGCATCATCATAACAAAACCCAATGGAGAGAACGCACAGACACGACTCACAACAAAACATCCTAAGTTATTGCAATACATACAGGCTTTTCCCTAGAAAGTTCTCTGATACCATAAAAAGTTACACTCCATGTATACCCCGTTTATTAACATGTCATCGTATTAAGCCACGCTTAATTTAAAATGCGGAATAACTTTTTACTTTCAATTATGACGTCATTAATATTACCAAGTTAATTACTTAATTCTTTTCATAAAACATCGTCTGTACGTAATTGCAATTAAACGGCTATCTATGCTGAAATAACCTCAATAAATAAATAAAAGTGAGTAATAACCTCAATATCTAAGTCACAGAACTACAACACGTAGACCGGACCATAATCCTGATACATTAATACAACTCAAATCTAAGATAGGACATACTCAATCAACGTGGCATGCACAATCCCCATACTAACCAAATAAGGCAACAAGCCCTGCAAGTCTCAACCACAACAACATAATAGTAAAGCTAAAAACATAATAGCAACAGGCATATCCAGCATCTCAGCACAATCAGCATAACAGATAAATATCAATCAACTAAGCTCTGGCCTCCTGCTGCTAGAGGTTTCAACCCCCGCATTACCTGAACCTGAAATAAGTGCCCCAAATGTGGGGTGAGATCTCTAAACAGAAATCTCAGTAAGACAAGGGTTCCTCAAGGATCTTCCACCCCAAGCTCACTTACATGTGCAATATAAGTTCCAAAAGCAGTTAAACAATATAAGTTCCAAAACAGTGCAATGCAGCAGATAATCATGCCATGTGTGTTATAACTATTCTACTGATCAGAGAAGTGCAGAAATACGTCTATTACCCACACAGTACACGTCCGTGTTGTACCCGCCCCCAGGACCACCCCATGGCTTCCTGGCTAGGCGAAACACCACACGCATATCATACAATAATTGCACTTAACAGCTCAATAGCATTTCAATAAAACAGTACATGAAAACACATCATGCATATAACCATCCCCCCATGGGACATGGTGGAACAAACAATGGCTAAACCGAGGACACGAAAGCTTACCTTGCAAGCTAGCTATCCAAGCCAAGAGTCCACACAAGCTTAAAGCCCAAACATAGTAGAATCACAATTTGTTTCGGACCGGCAATCATATCCATAACCATAGCTCAAAAGCATATACATAAAAACAACGCTTCTCTTTTACGTTTCATGTCTTAAGGCTTCTCACACAGCCACAAGCCCTTAATCACTTGATTCTGACTTAGTTTAATTATTACAGAAGTCTCACTTCATCAAACTAGGGTCCACAAACCCATAACAGCATTCTGCTTGAACAATGCAGCTACTATTCTTCGAAAACCCAGAATATCCAGATATTTGTCGGGGTAATATGCGGATATCAATATCCGGATATCAATATCCAGATATTTCGCGACAGAATGCAGATTCTGCATTTCGCGAAGATATCCATCAAAGATTCAACTTTAACCAAATACAAACGTTCAAGACTCTATTTTTAGGCACATACAGGTTCACATAAGTGTTGGTTACTTAAACAACTCATTATACATGCCAAGACTTCACTTTTAACCATTAAATCTCATGATCAAAGGTTGGTAACACTTACCCAAGGTTAAAACTCAAAAAAGGAGTGCTCTTGGAGCTCACCACCAAGTCCCCACAGTTCTGACTTCTCCAAGATACGAAAATGGAGATCAAAGGTTGATTCTTTGTACCAAAGATCACTCCTTGGAGCTCCCACAACCAAAGAAATGGCCCCCAACACTCAAACAAAGGAACTCATCCCCTCAACAACCAAAAACAGTGGCTGAGCAACCAGAAAAGAGTCATCTTTCACACTCACAATGATCCCTCTCACTCACACAAGGTAATAAGTGAAGAGAAATGGAAGAAAAGAGGTCACAATGCTCACAAAATGGATGAGGAAGCAATGGAACAGTGTTTAGCTGTTCAGCCAACCAAGGAGTCACGTAGAGAACTGATATGGCCTAGGGCTTAGAGCCAAATATGAGTATTTATAGTGGTTTAAGTCTTAAACACACAGTATTAGCATTAATAGCTACGCTTAGCATTTTAATCCCAAACTTTGGAATCTGAACCTACTCATTTTTCTAAGATTTATCATATTTTTATTTTATTTTTTGCAGCACCTTTCCGGTACGCTCTTTTCCATAGCCAGTATCTGGCACCAGTTCTCATTATTTTAACTTGAAACTTGAAATCACAGTCCTATATATTATTTTAGGAATATTCGTGCACTTATTATAATTTTCTGTAATACTTCATCTGTACGCATTTATACTGAGGAGCAGAACCGGTATTTGCACTTTTCTTTAGAAAAACGGCTTTCAACATTATTACTCACTTATCATAATTATTTAAGTCTCATAATAATTATTAGGGTCAATTATGGAATTATTTCCCAATTTCTTAAAATTAATTAATTAACTTCCTTAATTAACGGTGCGGGTTTTTGCAGACCGGTTCACTACCCCATGCTAGAGAGGACTCTCATCTCTAAAGACCCTCTCACACTGCTGGGTTTAGTATGCTCTTTTCACTTAAGCCCAATAGCTTTAGTGAGAGTAAGCCCAGAGTCTAATTTTAACCCATGAAGCTTAGGGTTTATTTTGGATTGGGCAGAGTATATAAACTCTCTTTTCTCTCTAGTGCCTCATAGGGTTACAGACATCAGAAACACACCAAAGAGGCAGACATTCATCATCTGAACAGTTTCCCACACGACCACCTGATCCCCTTGAGTCATAGCCTGGAAGATCAACCGTAGAGCAGATTTTGCGACCGTTCGTGGTGCGTTGCTGCAGATTGTGAGGCTGTAGAATGAGAACTGAACGTGAGGATTAGTCACGCTCGCTACTTCACCCCAGGTAATCAAAGTGGTGTCTTTATTCTTCATCGCATCGGTACGATGCGCTTCCGCTTTTCTGATGATATACCTTCATGTGGTATCAGAGCCGGATTGTGATGGGGATTTAGATTAGCTTTGATTTATTTATTTATTTTTGTGATTTTGAAAATATGGCACCTTTGTTCTGTATCTGTTATCAATATTCATGTTGATTCATTATAGTTCTTTTTCATAAAAGTTTAAATTTTAATCGGTAAAAATACTTTAATCCATGGTTAGGGTCTCTCGTGTATTTCTCGATTTGTAACAAGGAGGCTAATCCAATATGATTAGGTTTCCTCCTTGCTTTTTTTTTTCGGAATTTCTGTGTATTTTTCCAATATTTTGTAAAAGTTCAAGATCGGAAAACCGCGAGGAAGATGCGCAGTCAGCACTGCCAGAGACTTTTCGATGACTTACCGATCCCAGAATTGGGCGATCCATATATGGTTGGAAAGAGGACGGAAAGACGAACGCAGCGGTTGGTGGCTCTTCGTCACTGGAGCCTCCACGTGCCGGCTCAAGCGGCTGCGAGTGGCCAACACTCGCCAGCAAAGAATGAGAGCGAGAAGGAGCGTCCGGCCACCTTTTTGGGTGGTTCCGGTGGCGCACTCGTGTCTATATGGCGGTCCTTCCCCTGGAGTTTCGGCTTGAGTTGACTTCGGGTGACGGCACGGCAGACCTGACGGATTGGGCTTTTGGGTTTTGGGCCCATGAAAACCCTAAAGGGACTTGAGACAGATACTATGGGCTAGGCGAAAGTTGAATTCCAAAGTTGTAATATTTATTTTTTTTATTTTTATTTTCTTTAAAATAGGAAGGCCATGGATTAAAGTAATTAGAATTTATTATTTAATGCTTTTATTGATTGGTATCAATTATATGTGCGATTAACATGTTATCGATAACATGTCATATAGGATAGGAAGGTCCCATATTGCTGCATGATCAGATGTCATACGTGCATATTTTCTATTATGTCATTACCGACTAGAATGATAGTTTATGCACGTAGTTTTTTGATTTTAAATATTCCAGTAAAATAAAATTATGATAATTATGATTTTAGAAACAAAATCTAGATTAATGGTTATATTAATTTCGAAAATTAATTAATTATTATGATTTTGGTAAAATCTAGAATAATCAAATTGATTATTTTTGGAGTTTTAAAATCAAGATAAATTAGTAAGAAAATTTCCTAAGAGAGTTCTTTTATTTTGCGAGTAATTTATGGGTCTACTAAAATGGTCATGTGTTAAACACACGCTACATACCCTAATCATGTATCATGACTGTGTGAAGCACACACTGACCGGATTTTAAGACCTTAATGATTTCAAAATTCAGATAAGCTAAGTGATGCACGTTCATCGGTGCTCTTGCTTACATAGTTTTTGAAATCAAACAAAGGATACTCTCAATTAAATAATTCTTGGAAATTGGAAAATATTACTTATGTTGAATGGAAGGAAATTTAAATTAAGAAATTAATTTAACCTTCAAACTGTACAAGGAAGCCTCAAGGCTAATTATTGATCTCTATTCAAAACCTCATGGAGTTCCCCCCATCCACTTCCTAAGTTGCGAACCCCATGGGTGATGACCAAGAACCCAGAAATTTCATTCCATTCTCTCATGCACTCCACATACCTTGAACCCCTAAGACAAGAACTCCGTCTCCTTGCTGTCGGCTGAAGGTACACCTCCAGGAGGGGAGGCGCTAATTTTGCGGTCTTTCTTGTTGTCGTTGCTCTGTGTGATTTGATGGAGTGCTCACTGCATGAAGCTCGAAATCCAGAGTTTCCTCATCGTCTTTCTGCCTCTCTTATGTTCAGCCGAAGACCTTCATTCAAAGAGGTAAAGCAATTTCCTCCCCTTGTTCAACGCGAATTAAACCAGTTCTGATTAAGTTTTGTTTCGTTCCACTGCATGCCCATGACTCGGCTGTGGTTGAGTCTCTCTTTCCCTTGTATATAATTGGAATCGGTCCCTTGGAGCAGTGGATGAAGGAAGTTGTTGTCCATGAGTGAAAGTTAGTTGTGTATTCTTGAAAAGAGGTAACGTCAAAATCCCAAATTTTTCCGCACCTTGCTGATTCGGTTTACATGTATAAATTAGGGAAATTATTGTCTTGTCACTCCTACACCTTACTCCCAATTTTTTTTTTAAATTCTGTTATTTTTAAGCAGCCCTAGGACTTGATGCAAGTAGGCTAAAAACTGAATTTTTGAACTTGAACAATACTCATTTAATGATGTTAGACCAGCCTTGGACTGGAGAATTGGGTTAAACTTGGTATGAATTAAGACTGCATGAACCGTTGCCTAAGACCTTGTTCCATCACATTTAAACTTTGTAGAAATTACCTTGTAAATAGATAAATTATGTGTCTTTAGTTTCTGGCCAAAATTCGGACTTATATGCGTATTTAGGGGGTAGCTTTGTGTCATCTTAATTCTATTAATTCTGCCATGTTGGAACCAATGGGGTTTTGTAGTTACACGACAAAGAATCATTCTTTTAGCTTGGACTATAATTTCCCTTGTTGAAATATGTTGCTACATCATACCTTGTGTAACATCCCTCGAAATTAGGAAAAACTAATACAGATTACGCTAATCTCATGATTACTCATGGGGAATTAATATTGAGTTAGTAGGTAACATTTCACACAATTAGGGAAATACATAAAATACCTTAAAGTATAAGAATGCACGTGTAAAAAATAAAAAAAAATTAAATTTGATATATATATATATGTATTGTTTGTTGGTCTTCGAAATTATTGAGAATTAGCATAGGATTAAAATTAAGTTAGGAAATTATTGAAGTATAGTATTAAATGAAGATTTATTTTAGACATATGAAATTTTAATTATAAAGTATAGGAATGTATTAATTGTAGCACATAAAATAAAATAAAGCATGATGTTAATTAGGCCTTATCTGAACCGAAAAAATTATTGGGTTAGCTTCTAGGTAGTATCATTTTTGGGCTGCATATTTTGGTCCCTAGAATGCTCATTGGCCGAACCTATAGGGTTTTAGGAAGGGTATTGGATTCAGCCCAAACTCTCCACTCCTTGCTAAAGTTTTATCTCATCTAGCAATCATACAAGACAATTCTCTATTGGGTAGAAATCAACACATGGCAAAAAGGATAAGCCATTTCATCCCCTTGTTTCATGCGCTGTAGTGCTGTCAAAAAGTTGGTAGCTTGTGTGACTAAACTACCTTAGACCAGCCACACTCCATCTCTCATTCACATGTGCCTAGAGCCTTGAAAAAATTCTGATGTAGCTTGCTTAAAATGACAACTTAAGTCAGCCTTGTCATAGTTTTCTTGTCACATGCGCGTGGGGGGGGGGGGGGGGGGAGGGGAAGGAAAAATACAAATCTGGTTGCTTGTAACCAATAAAGGAAAGTGTGGTCAGATTGCATGTAAAGTAATAGGGCAGAAGCCTTACCCATCTTGTCACCTTATGCGCTCCAAATGAGGGAAAGTTTCAGCCACTTTCCTGATGGCACACACAAGCTTAAATCAGCCTTCTCAACCCTCTTCTTTCATCACCAAGCGCTGAGTTAGTGAGGAAGTAGGCTGGACATTTTGCAACCTTTCTTTCCCAAATTTTTTTCTTCTTTGACCGTGAGAAACAGCAAGAAATATACCAAGAAAAAAAAAATAGCCAAACTACATCTTACTATTCTCTTCTCTTCCTTGAAACCGTGTACCCTTGTAAGCCATCACCATATTGAAGAGCTCCTTCCACTTCCTGCTTGTCTAGCCGAGGTCCTTGATGCAAAAAGGATTTAACTCAAGAAAATCTTCTTTTCTTTTCGTGCACACATCTGACGTTGGAGGATTGGACTGCTGTGTTCGTAAAACTTAGAAAGTGGTGTTGTGCTCCTTGTTCCATTCGACTTTCTTGTGTGCTGCCAGAGAGGTAAGCACTAAACATCTCCTTCCTTACTCTAGTCAAGTCGTGAGGCATATTAGGAAATAGCCTTTGTATCTTCTTTAGCCTTATTATTATTTCTGCCTTGAGAACATTGGGTCATAGTTTGAAAACATGAAGAAAAGTAACGTTGAAATAATCATATAATAAATTTTGGGGTTGTTACAAAGTAAAATAATAAAACAGCATGTTTGGACCCCCTTTATGGCGCACCCTTCATGGAGTAATTATGTTAGAATAAATTATCTTAAATGGTTGGTTTAGATGAAACCGATTCTGATTTAGTATCTCTCAAAAAAATTTATGAAAATATTATGATAAGAACAACATGCATAGACCTCTCTTATAGCGCACCACTCATGGGTCAGTAAGCTTTAGAATAGAATTGTCTTTGATGTTGGGTTAGTTTAAAATCAATTCTGTTTTGGTAAGTTTAGATATGCTCTAAGCTTCATTTAAATTAAATATACAGCAAGCTAAGTAGGCCTTATTTTGCGCCCCTTTGAGTGGAAAAGTGGAAGTTACATAATTTATTCTTGAAGACCTCCTATGTGTTGAAAACCGAACCTATATTAGATGTAAGTGATAGGATTTGTCTCTAATTAATAAAAATAGGGCTGCTGTATTTTATTTAATTGAAGTTAGAAAATTTGTGTAGATGAAGCATGAAAACCGATTCTGCCCTAGTGGAGCTATTAAAAAAAGTGCTCACTGTTGAAAATGTATAAAGGTTGAATTAGAATCAAAAATAAATTTATTGAAAAAGAACCTTAAGGCCGAATGCTATAGGAATTATTAAGTTTGGGAATTTGATGAATAAATTGAATGTGCACTGATTTATTATACTGTAAAATTAGGTGTGAAAAATCGTTGAGACGTTGGACTGTTTCGTTGTGAATCGGTAAAGTAAATTCCGACTACGAGGTATGTGTAAGCGGTATTACCTAATGTGACTATTGGCTAGTGTATGGAATTGTGATGTGTTGCTCACATTTGTTCTATGTATGTTATGATGATGATGAGCCAATGGTAAGAATATGAAAGGATGATATGATATATGCATACATTTTACATCATAATACATTTTTTTGTTGGGTGCGATTGCATAACATGGCATGTATACTTGATTCATGACATCTTGAATATATATATATATATATATATATATATTTGTATTGAGGACATGTGACTGAGCATGCATCATATAGGCATGCCTGGTACCAGGAGAGGGGACACTTGGCTTCAGTCCGCATAGGTTCCACAGTGGGATTCACCTTCATGGGAGCCATTAGGAATACCCACTGTGATGCTACGCGCACGACGGTGCTATGACCGTAAAGGAAAAAGGGCGTTATATACGCGTTATGATATATGACGAAAATGATTAAATGTTTGAAGTGACTATTTATGATTTTGTGCCTAGTTAATATTGTTGCATTATGGTTTTGTTGCCACACTACTAGGATTTTCTCTCACCCCTTTGGGGCTGCTATTTTTACAAAATGGCAGGAGGACGTAAAAGCTTTTGAGGACTTGGATATTTGCTGTTGGCTTCCACTGTTTGGGCATGCTGCTATTGATGTGATATTTTATGGATGACTGTATGAAATTGAGAAGCTTTTATTACTGTGAACTATGATTTTATTATTGCATTACGATTTTATGACCAGCAAGTATTTTGGAAACAGATGTTGAAACGTTTGCGAAAAGGATTTTGACATGTTATCTAAATGTTGAGTTTTGAAAAGTCTTTGCGAGCACTTTGTAAGTTGCCGTACTGGGGTTACGGACCTCCGATTTTCTTATAATTTATATGCACGCGTAGCCCCAGGTGTCTAGTTTCATTATATGTAAACCTTGCAAAGAAATTCTGAAAGATCGATTTATTATGAATTTTACCAGCCAGGACATTTGTGATATTTCCACTATTTTCTCTCTTATTTTGCGAGTTATGTTTCGAGGGGAAAACGATCTCCAAATCACAATTATTTTATATGAACGTGAAGCCCCAGATGTCTAGTTTCCAGATTACAAAGAATATATTTTTGAATCGTTGAACTGGATTTTATACGAATTTTTAAAGACAGCAAGGTCTATCAGGAAATTTATATTTTTAATAGGTTTAAGAAATTTTGCGTACTCTGATTTTTGTAATTAACCAGATCCCCTCTTTAGTTTTAATTGGCAATGTAAAAGCGAATTTTTTTCAGTCTCTAAAATACTATTAAAGAACTCAAATTCCGCTTAGCAAACAACTCTCTTGGAGGCCTACAAGAGAGGGTGTTACACCTTGTATATGAATTAGAATAATTTGACAGCATGCTATATGTTCCCTGTAGCGCACCATAGGTCTAAGGAAATAGAAATTATATGAATGAAAAATCATGAGACTTTTTTATGAAAACCGAATTGGACGTGAGTAACGTTAAATTGTCTTCGCTTTAACAAGTTAGAAAAAGAACTTGAAGCCAGAAAACATAGTTAGTAAAAGACTTATGGAAAATGTGTTAAATGCTCAGGCTTGTAGGTATGGCTAATGCTTGTAAATTATAAGAATCAACGTTTGAAACTCTAGTTGGTTTTGCTTGATTAGGTGCGCATAAACCTTGAATGTGGACTGAGTTTGCTGCTGTTTGATTTATATTTGGGAACACGAGGTAAGTGTTTGGTGGTAAGACCTATTGTGACTATTAGCTAGCGTATGGAATTTTGAACTGTTGCTCACATGTGCGTGATGATTTGTATTCTGTTAAATATTGATTGGTAATCTGCCTTTGAACTTGACAAGATGGAAATTCTGTTATGAGAAGTAATTGTTACGCGGCAGCTTGGTATTGAAAATACATGAAAGATTTGCTATTATGATGATGATCTAGTCATGCATACATACATCATAATCATATGTTTCTTTTGTGTGTGCAAAGCATATCATGGCATGCAGCATTGTGCATCCAATTTGGAAACCGAAGTATATATATAAGTAAGCATGTGATTGAGCACGCATCATATAGGCATTCCTCCGGTACCAGGGTATAGGACACTTGGCTTCAGTCCGTATAGGCCACAATTGGAATTCACCTTTGATGGGAGCCAATATGGAATCTCCACTGTGATGTTAGTACGTGCACTGCAGTGCTATGAGCGTACATTACCATGGCGTTATATACACAGTATGATGACTATGGCGTTATATACGCACCATGATTAGTACTTTGACGTTATATATGCACTATGAGTATATGTTAGCATCGTTTCGGAATTATATGTTGATGCGACTGTTTTGGAATTTTGTACCTAGTCTAATATTGTGGCAATACTGGTTTTACTATCACACTACTGGGATTCTTTCTCACCCCTTTTGGGGCTCAATTTTTATAAATTGCAGGGAGACGAAAAAGGATTTTTGATGAAGTGTTTAATTTGGACATGTTCTGCTTGTTTGCTGCTGCTTTGGAAATTATGTTGTTGTCCACTGTTTCTGCTAGCTGTTGACTGATTAATGATGTTGATTTAATATTTTGTGATATCGGAAAAAATGTCAAAACCTGTCTTAAATTGGTGTAGTCTGAGACTCTATGGTCAGCACTTAACTTGCACTATTCGGGTTATATTTTACAAAAACAATTCATGAACGTTTTGAATGCTGATTTATAAACTGTTTTTGCGAGCACTTTGCGAGTTCCACTTCTAGGGCTACAGATCTCCGATTTACTTATAATTTATATGCACGCGTAGCCCCAGGTGTCTAGTTTCATATTATATAAGCTTTACAATGAAATTATGTGAGCACAGATTTTTATGATTTTTGCAAGTCAGGTAGTTTTGGAACATTTTCACTGATTTATCTTTTACCTTGCGAGTTCTGTTTCGGGAGCTAGACACCTTCGAATGAAATGATTTTTATATGCACGTAAAGCCCCGAATGTCTAATTTCCTTGTATCAAAGAATATTTTTTTAAGCTGTTGAACTCGAATTTATACCATTTTTGCAAGGCAGCAAGGTTTCGCAGGAAAATTATTATTTCAGCAAGTCATGTATTTTTAAAGTCACACTCTGATTTCAGTAAACCACCAGATTTCAATCATAAGAGTGAATTAGCAACTTGAAAACGTAGTTCTGTATTTATATAAAATTCGTTACGACTCTAATCCGCTTAGCAGACAACTCCCTTGGACGCGTGCAGGGGAGGGTGTCACACTAAATATTGCATATTTGTGTTTGTGTTTATCAATTGTGAGATATTGGAACTCAGTGTTGTTGGGACCACTGTGCCTGTGGTTGACACTATATTGGAGTTTGAGACATGATTTTGGAACTCGATGTCGTTGGAACCATCATGTCTGTGGTTGACACTATATGGGAGTTTGAAACTTAATGGTATAGTTAAGACCGCAGGGCCCGTGGTCGACACCATATTTGATTATATGATGGTTTTTTGATAAACCATGGAATTTCTCTGGATTTAAGGCATTTGGGAGAAATTTGAGGACTGACAGAGAAAAGAGCAATTTGGCTGTTATTGGATCACATTGGCATGCTATTTTCTTGCTACACTCCATACTAATGACTAGTCGACGGAGTCAAGTAACATTTCTGACCATGGAAGGTCTTATATCGATAAAGGTATAATCACCGCCTGATTTAATGATATTTGATTTTAGTTGGATGGAGTCATATTCAGATATCGCACCTTGGATATGAAAGTAGCCGTTTCTACGCCATGAACATAAAAGAGGAAAAATTAAAGTTTTTGTGCGGAATAAGCATCCTTTGCCCACCCTCAATTATGTTCAACCCATGAAGCATGCAATAGACACGTTAGGGGTTTAAAGTTGATACCTTTATTCGGATAACTATTTCTGATCAGGTGCGTTCTTGATCAATTCTTCATACTTGAAGAACACAAAGAGAAAAGAGCAGTTTGGCTGTTATTGGATCACATTGGCATGCTACTTTCTTGCTACACTCCACAGTAATGACTAGTTGACGGAGTCAAGTAACATTTCTGACCATGGAAGGTCTTATATCGATAAAGGTATAATCACCGCCTGATTTAATGATATTTGATTTTAGTTGGATGGAGTCATATTCAAATATCGCACCTTGGATCTGAAAGTAGCCGCTTCTAGGCCATGAACATAAAAGAGGAAAAATTAAAGTTTTTGTGCGGAATAAGCATCCTTTGCCCACCCTCAATTATGTTCAACCCATGAAGCATGCAATAGACACGTTAAGGGTTTAAAGTTGATACCTTTATTCGGATAACTATTTCTGATCAGATGCGTTCTTGATCAATTCTTCATACTTGAAGAACACAAGTCCTTCGATGGAAATCCACACCACCTTATTGTCTTGTAAGAGAAGAACACTTCTTCGAATGCCCAATATCCTTCAATTGAGGTTGCTAGACTCAAGAGGAGAATAGAGATTAGGTGGTGCCTTTGGTTATTACAAGAGAGAGATAGCTGCCACACTGATGTGTGTGTTGGCTAAGGTTTCAGTAGAGAAAATTAGAGAAGAAGAGATGCAAAACTAAGGAAGAAGATGGGCTACATATAGATGTGGCGCCTCATTAACCTAAGACTAGGTCAAATCAGCTCCCTCATCAAATCCTAATCTTATTGGGTAATTTCCTTAATTTTATCCAATCAATCCAATTGATTGATTTCCCCAATTTTAGCCAATTAATTTAAGGGTTCGCTTTTTCTGCAGTTACTGCAGATAAGTTATCTGTAGTAAGCCCAATATGACGTCGTTTTGGGACGAAAATCATGGTGTTGTTGTAATTTTAATTTATTTCAGGGTTATTATAGTCTTTATAATTATAATTTTTTATATTTCAACCCAAAACAACGTCGTTTTTTGAGTAAATGCAGATAACTTATCTGCAGTAACTGCAGAAATATTTTTCTGTTAATTTAATTAATTGGTTTCCTTAATTTTATCCAATCAATTAGTTTCCCAAATTTTAGCCAATTAATTTTATTAATTGATTTCCTTAATTTTGGTCAATCAATCCAATTGATTTGTTTTCGCAATTTCAGCCAATTAATTTAATTAATTGTTTTCCTTAATTTTGGTCAATCAATCCAATTGTGTTGTTTCCCCAATTTCAAAATATTAATTTAATTAAATTGATTTCCTTAATTTTGGTCAATCAATCCAATTGATTTGTTTCCAATCAATCTAATTGAATGGTTTCCTTTATTTTCTGCATCTTCAATAAATCTAATTTAATGACTATATTTAAATTCAAATTTCAAATTCAAAATTCAAAATTAGAATTTAAATTAATTATGTTTAAATTCAAATTTCCAATTCGAAATTCAAATTCAAATTAATTTTATTAATTTAACATTTAAATTTATTAGGTTACATCATGGATCAAGTCCAACTTGACCCATGATGTCACCTGTAATGCCCGATCGCTTCAAGAATCAATAACTATCCCCACATACTAACACGAGACTTTTCAGTGTGTTTTTTCCTCACTTGCACACTTCCCAGAAAATCTTCTCAGGAGGTCACACATCCCAGAGTTGCTCCAATTCAAATCTTGTTAGCATAGGTAGTACCAATTAATTCTTATAAGCTATCTCAAACTGTGCAGTCTTATACCTGCACAGCCTTTGGAATCCCTCTCTTTCGGGTGTCGATTCGATTCATTCATGCATGTAACCCCCCGCTGGAAGCCTGTCAGGAGTCGCTCTTT